TGCTAAGCAATATCACTCATTCGAGTGGGGTTCGTAATTTTAAATATAAGTTTAAGGTTATGAGTGGAAGGGATTGTGAGCAACCCTTGCCTGGAATGAGCTAGTAGGCCTAAAACATTGCTCCTATGCTATGGTTTAAGGCTTCAAGTACTCACCGGGGAATCGTGATTGCTTGGGTGCCTCAGACGATAGTCTCCGCAGACTGCATCAACTGGTCCACCTGACAGTGGAAGTCAGGTCTTGGTCTCTCGTACTCCTCTGTGTCTTCGTGTTGAAGCCTCCTTACTGGGTCCTCCGAGGGGTCTTTATGGGGAAGCCTCCTCCCTGAATATTCCTCAGAGAGGTCTTGATGGAGCCTCCTTCCCAGATATTCCTCTGAGGGGTCCTGGTGATGTCTCCTTTCCGGGTATTCGTCCAGGGAGTCTGTGTGAGACCTCCTCTCCAGGTATTCCTGGGAGGGGTGCTTATGCTGAAGCCTCCGTCCCGAATACTCCTCGGACGGGTCTTGATGCTGAAGTCTTCTACCCGGGTACTCCTCGGAGGGAGCTTGATGCTGAAACCTTACGCCGAGGTAATCCTCGGGGCTTCTACCTCTGAGTCCCATCTCTGAGTCGTCCTCGGGGTCTGAGTATGGAAGGCGGACCCCGGGGTAAATTTCAGAGTCTTCGCTCATCTCTCGGACTTTCGGAAAGTCTTCAAGGTCCCTGTGTTGAAGTCTCGCCCCCTGGTACTCTTCAGAATCTTTAGGCTTCAGTCTGACGTCTGGATACACCTCCGCCGACGCCAGAGATTGCTGCCAAAACGACAAAAGAACTAAATATAAAATATCAGTATTATGGGAATGCAGTTTTCAAATATTTATTCAGTGAAACACTTTGATTATATAAATCACGAAAAATATAATTTATTTTGCTTCCAATAAAAGAAAAAAATTAATTTCTAAACTCTGAGCTCCTTTAAGGAAGGGACAAGCTTGAAACTTATTTAAGTAAACCCAATTAACCAACAAATGCCAGTACTATCACCTGTACTCTAGCAACAGTATTGTAGCATCAGTACCCTAGCTGCACCAGTACTCTTACAACAGCATTCTAGCAATAATACTCAAGCACCAATAAACTATCTGCAATAGTACACAAGTACTCGAGCATCATCACTACCTGAATGAACCAGTAAGGGAGCGCCAACATTCTTTTACCATTACTGTAGCCCAAGTAAAGTAGCAATAGCAGCACTGTACCACCATTAATCTGATCACCATGCTCAACAACAGCAGTCTAGAACTAGTATTCCAGCAACGTTTGGTCAGTACTCACCCTGGCTATGGCGTCGTACACTGGCGTTAAAATTGGAACCTCAGATTTCGTTGCTTCCGGAGTCAGCAGGTCGAAGGTGTCTTCTGTTGTGAGAGATACACCTGTTACACATGTATTATTATATCTATGATATATTATATATATTATATATAATATATATATATATATATATATATATATATATATATTATATATATATATATATATATATATATATATATATATTATATTATATATATATCGTGCCAAATATGTAAAACTTGTGATTTTGGCTTAAACAGCAACGCTCTTCTTGCCGAATAAGGTAGGCGAAAATTTTTGTATGCAATAATTTCGCAAAAATAATTCTGAACCTAACGAAAAAAAATATTTTTCATGGTGTTTGTTTATTATTAAATTATTGCAAACATATCTAAAATATATTTAGTTGGATTAGGCTAAATTAAATTGCGCTTGTTATAATAAGGTTACGTAAGTTTTCTAAGGCTCTTTTGGTACAAATTATTAATTTTTATATTAACATTAATGAAAAAATATATCTTTAAACATGTAAGAGAAAATTTTAGAAAGAATTAATTTTAAACGAGATCTTGCCAACTGACCAGTTTTACCTATATTTACTATATATATATATATATATATATATATTATATATATATATATATATATATATATATATATATATATATATATATATATATATAAGAGTAAGGTGAAGAGAGTATCAAATGATACAGATAAAGAAAAATTGGATATCAAATTGGGGAGGAGGAGTATGGAAGAAGTGAATGTTTTCAGATATGTGGGAGTTGACGTGTCAGCGGATAGATTTATGAAGGATGAGGTTAATCACAGAATTGATGAAGGAAAAAAGGCGAGTGGCGTGTTGAGGTATATGTGGAGGCAAAAAATGTTATCTATGAAGGCAAAGAAGGGAATGTATGAAAGTATAGTAGTACCAACACTCTTATATGGATGTGGAGCTTGGGTTGTAAATGCTGCAGCGAGGAGACGGTTGGAGGCAGTGGAGATGTCCTGTCTAAGGGCAATGTGTGGTGTAAATATTATGCAGAAAATTCGGAGTATAGAAATTAGGAGAAGTGTGGAGTTAATAAAAGTATTAGTCAGAGGGCTGAAGAGGGGTTGTTGAGGTGGTCTGGTCATTTAAAAAGAATGGATCAAAGTAGAATGACATGGAGAGCGTATAAATCTGTAGAGGAAGGAAGGCGGGGTAGGGGTCGTCTCGATAAGGTTGGAGGGAGGGGATAAAGGAGGTGTTGTGGGCGAGGGGTTTGGACTTCCAGCAGGCGTGCGTGAGCGTGTTAGATAGGAGTGAATGGAGACGAATGGTATTTGGGGTGACACGTGGAGTGAGCTGTTTGGAGGGTTGAACAGGTATATTTTAGTAAAGCGGATTACGGGGAAACAATGTTTAAATTTTAGATATTGGCAGTTGAAATGCTGGTATATATGTATAGAAACAATGCCTCACTCTAAAAGAGGTTTGTGATTTGGCTAAAGTTTGGAGGGATAAGTTTTACTTTTTGGTATTGTTCTTGTTTTTTGGAGCACCCTGCATAGCGGTGAATGTGGATTGGTTGGAAAGAGTTGAAATGATGAAATAATTTACTATTTTGGGGATTTTCATTTTTTTTGATATATCGTAACGGCCGATTGTTGGAAAAAATAATAATAATATATAATAATAATAATATAATATATATATATATATTATATATATAATATATATATATATATATATATATATATATATATATATATATATATATATATATATAATGTCGTGCCGAATATGTAAAACTGGTCAGTTAGCAAGAACTCATTTAAAATTAAGTCCTTTCTAAAATTTTCTCTTATACGTTTAAAGATATATTTTTTTCATTAATGTAATTGCAAAAGTTTATAATTTTCCACCAAAAGAATCTTAGAGAATTACCTAACTTTATTATAACAAGAGCAATTTATTTTAGCCTAATCCTACTAAATATATTTTAGATTTGTTTACATTAATTTAATACTAAACAAACACAATCAAAATATTTTTTTCGTTAGGTTCAGAATGATTTTGGCGAAATTATTGCATACACAAATTTTCACTTGTCCTATATGGCAAGATGAACGTTGCTATTTAAGCCAAGATCGCAAATTCTGCCTATTCGGCACGACATATATATATATATATATATATATATATATATATATTATATATATATATATATATATATATATATATATATATATATATATATATATATATATATAGGTAGTAGGTTGGTAGACAGCAACCGCCCAGGGAGGTACTACCGTCCTGCCAAGTGAGTGTAAAACGAAAACCTGTAATCGTTTTACATGATGGTAGGATTGCTGGTGTCCTTTTTTCTGTCTTATAAACATGCAAGATTTCAGGTACGTCTTGCTACTTCTGCTTACACTTAGGTCACACTACACATACATGTACAAGCATATATATACACACCCCTTTGAGTTTTCTTCTATTTTCTTTCTAGTTCTTGTTCTTGTTTATTTCCTCTTTCCTCCATGGGGAAGTGGAACAGAATTCTTCCTCCGTAAGCCATGCGTGTTGTAAGAGGCGACTAAAATGCCAGGAGCAAGGGGCTAGTAACCTCCTTCTCCTGTATATATTACTAAATGTAAAAAGAGAAACTTTCGTTTTTCCTTTTGGGCCACCCTGCCTCGGTGGGATACGGCCGGTGTGTTGAAAGAAGATATATATATATATATATATATATATATATATATATAATATATATATATATATATATATATATATATATATATATATAATATATATATATGTGTGTGTGTGTGTGTGTGTGTGTGTGTGTGTGTGTGTGTGTGTGTGTGTGTGTGTGTGTGTGTGTGTGTGTGTGTGTGTGTGTGTGTGTGGGTTTGTGGTGAGACAGAGAGAGAGAGAGAGAGAGAGAGAGAGAGAGAGAGAGAGAGAGAGAGATCTAACCTTAGTAGTTTCACTGCATTAATACTGAGGTATTTTAAGATATAGTTGGTAATACATAGATTTTTCTTCTATATCAAGAATTCAGGTGATGTATAAAAATAGGCGTTTCGAACTAATTTTGTAACGCTGATGTCAAATCTGAATTAATTTTGTTCCAGCACGCAGTTTCTGTGAGACTGAACACCGCGGTGAGCGATGTCACCAAGACAGTCATCATGGGGAGTAGATATCAGGATAACATGACGATAAATTTACTGGTCGACTACAGTTGGACACAGCTGACACAGAGCCATAACCAATACAGGAAAAAAAAAGCCTAGAAAACCGTGATGCAAATATGCTGGTTTGACTGCATGGAAAACTGTTATTCTTGTTATGCACATATATAATGAATTTATTTTGAGAAGGATTAATTTTCGTGACTGCACGTACCACATTTAATATCATAATAATACCATAATATAATACCTATATTTGTTAGGTAATGTATATCATGTTCTTTGACCTTGGAGAGCCAAACGATTGATTCGTAAGATTTAAAAAAAAACTTACGTCGTCGAGACTCATCACTCTCATTCGTGATCAACTCATCAAAGTTAAAACAACCCATTTCTTGTCTGAGCTGGATAAAAAGCTTTATGTTGTGCGTGTTAAATTTAGTTAAATTTATCTAAAGTAAATATCAATATTAATACTAAATAATAATAATAATAATAATAATAATAATAATAATAATAATAATAATAATAATAATAATAATAATAATAAAACTAATAATAATAATACAGGTTCTTGAATTTATCTTAATAATGAATATTAATATTCATCTAGATAAATTTATCTAACAAATAATTAAAATAATTCTAATGTTTACGAGAGAAATTTGTTTTGCAATTTTTCCAAAATCTTCTATATTTCCGACTTTTTTTTTTCTTCTTATACACTCATTACCTTTCGTGCCACCTCTCATCCTCCTCGCCACCACTCTTTTATCTCTCCACTCCTTCTCATTCTCACTGTCTTTCTCCTTCCTCTCTCCTCACGAGCCTCTCTACGCTCACATAACACGCCTATTCAGCTCACAGGATACCATTCTATTCTTAAAGTTTTAACAAGTTCCCCACTGACCGCTCCTGCTCGCCCTGGCTCATTTCTCTCTCTCTCTCTCTCTCTCTCTCTCTCTCTCTCTCCTCATCTTTAGCCCATCCATCTCTTCTCTGTTTACCCGTTTCTCATCCATTCCAGCCAGTCTAACTAACCAATATCTTCTATCATCCTAGCATCTGAGCTTAATACCCTTACTCAAGCTTTGCTCACCACCCTGAACGATCCCCTTTCTATTACCCTCCTCCTCCAACCACAAAAAATGCGCCACCTCTGGCTGGTCGGAAACGGTGCCGCGATTAGCGGACGGAAAATCGTGCCTCCGAAATTAAACATTATGCAAGACTGACCTACGGTGTTGGGCACCACGTCAGGGTTACTCTCGTCTGAAGGCAGCCTGGGGTCGTGTTTTCTCCTGGTGTTCCTCTTGCGACAGTAGTGTCTGGTCCACACACCTCCCACCAAAAGTAGCACCGCCAGCAACAAACCGGCTAGCACCTTGCCCACAGAGCTGCTTCCACCGCGAGTATCTGCAGAAGTGGAAAGAACTGTCATTACAAGTTTACACCCCACTCAGCAGAAGCAGCATCACCAGCAGCCCCATCAACACCTTACTAACGTAGCTGTAACCACGCTGTGTCTGCAGATAATGATGTAGTTGATTAAATAAAAGAATTTTAAGTCTATGGACTGCACGAAGGATGAACAAGGCTGCAAGTAACATGTTCACCTCTAGAAAAAATACTTTCTTTTTATGCTACTGACATACCTTGTACTATGTTGGTAAATCTGGTAGTGACATGCCTTGTGTCGTCCTGGTGGCTCTGGTAGTGACGTACTTTGTGTCGTCCTGGTAGTTCTGGCATTAACGTATTTTGTGTCTTTCTAGTAGCTCTGTTAGTGACGTACCTTGTGTCGTCCTGGTGGCTATGTTAGTGACGTACCTTGTGTCGTCCTGGAAGGTCTGGAAGTGTAGGCAGACACCACCACGGGCTGGGAGGTGACAGGACCGTGGGTGACATACACCTTGATCTGGTAGCTGGTGCCAGCGTCCAGCCGACTCACATTGAAGTTGGGACGATGAGATGTGACGTTAGCGAAGAGTGTTCGATTCTCAAAGTACACCTGGTGGAGGTATAGAGGGTGTTAGTACACCTGGTGGAGGTACAGAGATGTCAGTACAACTGGAGGAGTTATAGACGATATAAAGTGTGTAGTAGACAGATCGTGCGTCTGTGTATTGGCTTATGTCAAGCTTATCCATTCGTGTGTCAAAACACCTTAAAAGACCCTCATTGATTCTACAGAAACAATTACATTTAGCGGGGTTCTGTAAAGACCCGAGCAGCCCCATTTCAGGTTAGTAGAGCTGGAAGATTCAGCTCAGTACAAACAGAAGAGGATTCAGCTCAGTAGAGCTAGAGGAGGATTCAGCTCAGTAGAGCTAGAGGAGGATTCAGCTCAACAGAGCTAGAGGAGGATTCAGCTCAGCAGAGCTAGACGTGGATTCAGTTCTGAAGAGTTACTGGGTGACCTACCTCAGCTCTGTAGAGGGTGGTGCCGGCGGCGGCGACATCTGGCCTCTGGCAGGTGAGGCTGAGGGAGGAGGCGGTGATGTTAGCGAGACGACACGACGACAGCGGCAGCGGCATCTCTGTAGGACGACACCAACACCATTGTCAGCAATGTACGACACACACACACACACACACACACACACACACGACACAAATCTCACCCAATAATAACATCGCTGGAATAAAGGGTTCTTCAAGAAGGAAGTGAGGACAGTAAAGGGGAATAGAGGAAAAGAAGGGGATGAAGAAAAAAAGATGTCGATGAGATAGGGTGAACGTAATGGGAAACATATGCGAACGTCATGTGAGGTGAATGTGAAGCAGATGTGAGAAATGGTGCAAGTGTTGAAAACATTTAATTTACATTCGTTCTAAGACCTCTTATGAATCACTGTTCTACCGCAGGTATCATCTTCCTCCCGTAAACATTCACTTGAGAGAATCTCCTACCGTTTACAACTAATCCACAATCTGGAGAGCAAATTTTAACGACGTTTCAATCCGTTTGGGCCCCAAACATTGCATGAAGTTCCCTCATTAATTTGAGGATTAGTTGTGTATTTTTCCCGCAATGGTAGTGTGACTTTTGTTCTTTATCTCTTATTAATCTCTCGCTGGATTTTCTCCTTCCATTTTGTGACCATGTTCAACTCCATGAAGAGCTTTATAAAGCTCTCCATGGACAAAGCTCTACATAGAGGGAAATTTTCCCAATAATACTTTACACCGCTTCATTTCTCTTTAATTTGCTATTAGCAGTAAGCGTCTATAAACACGGCCATGAGGGGAAGTGGAGACGAATGAATTCACTAAGTTCACCTTCACTGAAGTTCCACGTTTTTTTTTTAATACATGAAATATTAAAAAAAATCAGAAAAATGTGCTAAAACGTTATTTTATTGCATATTTCGACGATTCAGAGCAGTTTGAAGATTTTTGGACATTCCTCATTTTGTTTAGCTAAAATACGTAAATTATCACACTTTTAATCAAAACTGCATTTACAATTGATCACTTCAGTCCAACGACAGAAACATCTTCAACAAAGATGTCCCAAGTGAAAAAGCATTTGTGCTTATTTCCCTGAAGTTGTCGGTTCTGATTTGTCTTCGTACAACAAATGCGGCCATTTTAGTCCATATAACTACTCTCTCCACTCACGTGCGACTTTGACAGCGAAGCCGCAGGGAGTGGTCTGCTTGCCCATCTCGTTGACTGCCCAGCAGGTGAGAGTTCGGTCCTCCTTCGTTTGTATGGGTTCCACGCTAAGCTGAGACCAGGTGCGCTGCTGCTCATCCTCGTTTGTGACCTCAGTGCTAATAACTTCGTTGCTGCTGTTCCACTGCCAGAGGATGGAGCGCACAGGTGGGAACGAAGAGACGGAACAGGTCACGTTGATGGGCTTGTCGTAGATGAAGTAAGTAGTCGGAGATGTCTGGCATACAGGCTTATCTGGAAGAGGCGGAAAGGAAGAGATGATAAAAATAGTCAAGAAAATAGATATTTCACAAGTAAGCCAAAACTGGGAGGTGGGAACCTTAGACGACGTTTCGGTCTGCCCTTGACCGTTAGCAAATCTCAGAATAGTGGGCGAGTTGTGAAATGTTTAATCACTGTCAATGTGACTTTTGTACCGAATGGAAAATTTGTTAGTAACCCGAAGGTGCCTCATACTCACACGCGTATAGCTACAAGTAAAACCACCACAACGTAAACTGAATGATTTTTCGTGCATTTACGCATATATCGTCAGAAGATGGTTCTATAAATGTGAGCTCGTGAAATCGCTCAAGACTTTCCGTTCTATTTATCACGATTAAAAAAATAGGATTCTTGCCCTAAACTCACCTGTAAGCAAACATTTACGTAAACATTCCCAGCAATCATACACACACACACACAACACACACACACACACACACACACACACACACACATACACACACACACACACACACACACACATACACACACACACACACACTGTTTCCCATGTCCTTAGAACTATTCAGGTTATCTATAAGAGGATTATTATAACAAAAGAGGGAATCTACTATATATGATTATAATCAAGGAGCCTCTCGATGATGCAATTAAAGGTAGATAACGTAAGGTGACGAGGGATCAGCTGGTTCTTGTCAACAATGCATGGATAAGCTTTATTCTGTGAAGAATTCGTTAGTGAAAAGATGATCGAACACACTTGACACAACATACACCTGTCAACACCTGACACTACACGCCTGACACACTACATGTCTGATACTACACACCTGACACACTTACACTTGATCCTGAGGGTGACAGGGCTGCTGGTTGTGGTGGTGATGGTGTTGGTGGCGGCACAAGTGTACTGTCCTGCCTGACGCCGCCCTACCTTCTGTAGCACCAGAGATTCCCCCGAAAGGATCACCCCCATGGTCACGTTCTGAACCTGGGCCGTCCCCTGTAGCAGTGTGGGAGTGAAATGAATTCTGTTGCAAAGGTGGAGTACAGGCGTGGTGGTCTGGGAGACATAAGTTTTATGGGTGTGTGGGCTCGAAGGAATGGTAGGTGGAGAGGCGTATTTTGTGGCGGTGTAGTAAAACAATGGATCTTGTGGCAATTTGGGAAGAGACAGACATTATTATTTTGAGAGTGAGGAGAGTATAGTGAAAGTGTGTGTGGGGAAGAGAGAGAGAGAGGGTTCTCTAAGGATTTAAAGGAATGAGGAACGTAACTTGGGTTGACGGAAGAATATTGTGTTCAGTGAGAGAGAGATCACAGTTTTATGGGAGTCATGGAACACGTTGAGAGAAGCTTAGGAAATTTATTACAAAGACTACAGTTGTATATGAGGCAAATATAAATTAATTTAATATTTTTTTATGAATAGCGAAAGGTTTGTTAGATATGCAAAAGAGAGATTAGCAATTTTCCAGGATGTCAAGAATCATCACCACGAAATTAACACGTATAATACTTCAGTTTTATTTAGTACAAAGCACAAATACAAGCGTGAAAATTCTTGAGTCTGTTATGATTGCTTCAAGATACAGTTTCAACACCTAACACAATAACAGTATAAATATGAGGAAGTAATTATGCTTGTCTTGAAGTCGTTTAGTCTTTTCTTCCATCATGTAATCTTGGCTTTCAGACTTACCTTCTGAACCTGACTTACATCACACGATTTAGGCCAGATGGTTTGTCAAAAAGTTTCAGTATTCCTTTTACGTTTTTTAAGCTTCTAAAGAGGACCTCGATTATAAGTCGAAATATACAGATCTCGTAATTTTTAATTCTCTGTGAGGCTTCACTTAAACTAACCTTTGTTTATCACACATTCGTAATATAATATATATATATATATATATATATATATATATATATATTATATATATATATATATATATATATATATATATATATGTCGTGCCGAATAGGCAGAACTTGCGATCTTGGCTTAAATAGCAACGTTCATCTTGCCATATAGGACAAGTGAAAATTTGTGTATGCAATAATTTCGCCAAAATCATTCTGAACTTAACGAAAAAAATATGTTTGATTGTGTTTGTTTAGTACTAAATTATTGTAAACGTATTTAAAATATATTTAGTTGGGTTAGGCTAAAATAAATTGTTCTTGTTATAATAAGGTTAGGTAAGTTTTCTAAGATTCTTTTAGTGCAAAATTAAAAATTTTTACATTAACATTAATGAAAAAATATATCTTTAAACGTATAAGAGAAAATTTCAGAAAGGACTTAATTTTAAATGAGTTCTTGCTAATTGACCAGTTTTACATATTCGGCACGACATATATATATATATATATATATATATATATATATATATATATATATTATATATATATATATATATATATATATATATTATATAACCAGCCCCCAGGAAAGCGAGGTATATTTCACGACTCCTTAGTCAACTATACAGCCATGCTACCAAACATATAAATATTTAGAGAGAGAGAGAGAGAGAGAGAGAGAGATTAAGTAATAAATATATATCTAATATTTTGTGAATTACATTAACTACAAACATGTTCCTATATCAGCGAAAAATTCTAGGAAATTTAAAAGGAAAAAAGCTGGTGAGTGCGAATGATACATCCAGCGACTGGGTCCCCCCCCCCCAGGTGCAGGTGATGGATGATGGTGTATTGTCGCAACGGCCACATTTTCCCTCCAACACATATTGTTTATAAAACCGGAAAAGCAATATACTGAATATATGGTCGGGAAAAAAAAAAGAATTTATCTTTCGATAGTGACATCTGTGAGGCTTCGACGTGGTCTACACACTATTTGTCTCTGACTTGATTGGTCAAACAAAAAAAAAAAAAAAGATTTTGTGGATTTTGAGTAACGATGAATAAATTTCAAATTATTGTTTCTGCAAGTTTAGTTTTACAAATTATAATTTATCTGTTGAAAATAAATTGCTATAGATAATAAATTACTTGTGCATCTGCTGAAGAGGACCCCAGAAGGTCAAAATATGAAGACCAATTAATTTTCCGAGGTTTTTTTCTCCATGCGAGTTATTACTGAGCTAAATGACAAGTGTTCATTACACTTTCTTTATTCACTTAAACTTCTAGTTATATAAGCCACACCTGGTACTGGGTACCAGGAGCTGGAAAAGACATGACAGGTGAAGGAATGTGCCTAGTAAGGAAAGGATCTCACCTGGCGGTACCAGATGATGCTGGAGGCTGGGACAGGAGAGTAGTATTCACCTGCCTGGCAGTACTAGGTGATGCTGGGGGCAGGTAGGGGATGGCGGTACTCACCTCGTGGTACCAGGTGATGCTGGAGGCTGGGACAGGAGAGTAGTATTCACCTGCCTGGCAGTACCAGGTGATGCTGGGGGCAGGTAGGGGATGGCGGTACTCACCTCGTGGTACCAGGTGATGCTGGAGGCTGGGACAGGAGAGTAGTATTCACCTGCCTGGCAGTACCAGGTGATGCTGGGGGCAGGTAGGGGATGGCGGTACTCACCTCGTGGTACCAGGTGATGCTGGAGGCTGGGACAGGAGAGTAGTATTCACCTGCCTGGCAGTACCAGGTGATGCTGGGGGCAGGTAGGGGATGGCGGTACTCACCTCGTGGTACCAGGTGATGCTGGAGGCTGGGACAGGAGAGTAGTATTCACCTGCCTGGCAGTACCAGGTGATGCTGGGGGCAGGTAGGGGATGGCGGTACTCACCTCGTGGTACCAGGTGATGCTGGAGGCTGGGACAGGAGAGTAGTATTCACCTGCCTGGCAGTACCAGGTGATGCTGGGGGCAGGTAGGGGATGGCGGTACTCACCTCGTTGTACCAGGTGATGTGGAGGCGGGGACAGGAGAGAAGTATTTACCTGCCTGGCAGTACCAGGTGATGCTGGGGGCAGGTAGGGGATGGTGGTACTCACCTGGCGTTACCAGGTGATACTGGAGGGCAGGGAGGGGATGGCGGTACTCACCTCGTGGTACCAGGTGATGCTGGAGGCGGGAGGGTTGGCGGCCACGGTGCAGGTGAAATACACGTCGACTCCCTCTTTAAGAAACTCTGGATTTAAGGAACGGCCCAAGGAAGCAGACACTGTCGGCGGGTCTGTGGAGGAGGAGCAGCAGGGAGGGTAAGGGAGGAGAGAGGACAGGGAAAATGGAAGACAGAGAGAATGGAGGAGAGATAAAACGGTGGACATTAGGAATGGGAGAGAGGCAAAAGGAAAAAGAGAGCAGAGCAGATGAATGGGTAATTATGGGTAAAAAGAGGAAAGCATGGTAAATGGATGATGGTGGATAAGCAAAGTTGTGTCGGGTAGAATAAATAAATGACAGTACAAAGAGAGAGACAGGAGAGGAAAAAAGACGATGGTGGATAAAGGAAAGAGGGGGCAGATGGAAGAAGAAAATATTGGATAAAGGAACGTAAAAGAGTGATGGAGAAAGGGCAGGGGAAATTTAGAATAGAGAAGTGAAAACAACGAATAAGGAAGAGTAGAAAATTGTTCAGGAGGAAGGGAAGGGGAAAGGAAAGGACATATGAAAAAAAAAAGGAAGAGAGGAAGGGATGAAACCAAAAGATATCATCTTCAATAAGTAATTTTGGGAAGGATGTATTTTACATTAAAAAGTTTATCTTAACAGTAATTGCAAGCACAGGGGAGATCAGTTCATTAATATTCAATATCTGTCAACAATACCCAAGACAAGATGCACGTTGTAAAACAAGCCTTTATTGAGAAAAAAGTCTACCAGTTAGAACCTTATCAAATTAAATGAATTGGTAATGTTTCACACAGAGCGAAACCTTGTTCCTATAAAAGCCTGTTGGCATCTTTTTTTTATAATAAAGTTGGTAGAATTACCGACAATATGTAAAGTAAAAGGACACAAGTGCAACTAATGTGACATTTTATTGTGGCAACGTTTCGCTCTCCAGGAGCTTTATCAAGGCTTGATAAAGCTCCTGGAGAGCGAAACGTTGCCACAATAAAATGTCACATTAGCTGCACTTGTGTCCTTTTACTTTACATCTTTTTTTAACATGGTTTTATTGGGATATTCACTTGAGAAGTGATCCGCAGACGCCTGTGACCGCAGGCGTCTGCGGAACAACAGGGATCCTCAACAGCCTTTACAGTATAGGGTAAATGTTTCTCCCTGAGAGCTTTGTCCCTGTAAAGCTTGTTCAGCTACATGTGTCTCTGTCTTCACTCATGTAACATCAATACTCATTCAGTACTCACAGTGGACAATGAGGGTGGTGGAGTTGGCTAGCGGGGAATCAGGTACGGCTGGGTTGGCAGCTCGGCAGGTCACCTGCGTGTTGTGGTCTTGACGAGTGAGGTTGGTCACCAGTGTCGAGCTGGTCACTTCACCATATACCAGGTTCTACGCGCGCACACACAGATGCAAAATATAATGCATTAGCGAAGGTGTAGTGGACAAACACATGCGTTCAGAAGTAGGTATGTCAAGGAGACAAAAAAAAAAAATGAATTAGATACGCTAATGGATGGAAGCGGAAACGAAGAGTCCAGCAGATATACCCTACACAGATGCAACTTGGTGAATACACACACACACACACACACACACATCAACCTGACGACACTGGAGGACAGAAGAGATAGGGGGGACGTGATAACGACATACAAAATACTGAGAGGAACTGACAAGGTAGACAAAGACAGGATGTTCGAGAGATGGGACACAGCAACAAGGGGACACAGTTGGAAGTTGAAGACACAGATGAATCACAGGGATGTTAGGAAGTATTTCTTCAGCCACAGAGTGGTCAGGAAGTGGAATAGTTTGGGAAGCGATGTAGTGGAGGCAGGATCCATACATAGCTTTAAGCAGAGGTATGATAAAGCTCACGGTTCAGGGAGAGTGACCTAGTAGCGACCAGTAAAGAGGCGGGGCCAGGAGCTTGGACTCGATCCCTGCAACCTATACTAGGTGAGTACAACTAGGCGAGTACACAGTCTGATCAATGCAAAGAAGTACCACGTCGCTATGTGCACCTCCGTTTGGCCAATTACACCTGTTCCACAGGTACAATATTAATTCTGAACTTTACTCTCAGTAGATTCCTTCGTCTCGACTGGTTTTTCTCTACTTGCTATTTTAACGGGGAACCCCATCCCCATCCTGGCTATTTTAACCGGTATCACCTCCTCTTTATTTTAACCGAGCCCCATATTTACTATTTCAACCTAACCCACTCGCTGCTATTTTAAACGAAACCACTTTCCTGGCTACTCTGCAGATGCCTCTAATACCTTTCATGCGGCGGCAATATAAAAATTTATTCCTCTTGAGCGTCTTCGCGTTTCCTCAACACAAATATTTGTTTGGTCCCAGTGATCAGTCAAGGCAACTGTTCCTACCTGTCCTTTTATATATCTTTGAGCTTTCCTTTTGCTTCTTTCATTGGGTCTTTCTCTTATGTCTATTTTAATTAGTACATTACTATAATTCTCCTCAAGTAGTATACGTGTGTCAAGAAAGTTTTGTATCATTCTATAAGCTAGCCAGCCCTTGTCTAGCTAGCACTAGTAAAATATAATGATCACATTTTAGCCTGTACTACGGTGCAGTGACCACAGTCTAGCCAGAAGAGCAACAATGGGTACTGTGAAACCCTAACCACTAAAATTGTTAGTCAGGTCAGAGAAAGCTACAATAGTCACGGTCCGGTTAGAATCACTACAATAGTCACAATCCAGAAAGAACCGTTACTATGGTCACAGGCCAGAACCATTACAACGGACATAAATAAATCAGAACCACTACAAAGAACAGGGTCCAGTCAGGGCCACTACAACGGACACGGTCCAGTCAAGGCCACTACAACGGACACGGTCCAGTCAGGGCCACTACAACGGACAAGGTCGAACCAGGGGACACTACACTGGTCACAGACCAACCAGGGGACACTACACTGGTCACAGACCAACTAGGGGACACTACACCGGTCACAGACCAACCAGGGGACACTACACCGGTCACAGACCAACTAGGGGACACTACACCGGTCACAGACCAGCCAGGGGACACTACACCGGTCACAGACCAGCCAGGGGACAATACACTGGTCACAGACCAGCCAGGGGACACTACACCGGTCACAGACCAGCCAAGGGACACTAGACTGATCACAGACCAGCCAGGGGACACTACACTGATCACAGACCAGCCAAGGGACACTAGACTGATCACAGACCAGCCAGGGGACACTACACTGGTCACAGACCAGCCAGAGCATTGCCTCGCTGACTCGTCGCTGTGTTTCATATTTGCTTTTTGCTCTCAAAGTCCCACATTCAGACCGGCCTATTACAGTCGTTTCAGAGGTGAAATGTTCATTTCGAGTTTTATTCCCAACAGATTCATGCGTTGTAACCGGTTTCTACTCTACTGGCTATTCTAACCGGACAGTCATAGTCTATATTTTAACAATACACAAATAACCCGCACATAGGAGAGAAGAGCTTACCACGACGTTTCGGTCCGACTTAAACCATTTACAAAGTCACACCGACTTTGTAAATGGTCCAAGTCGGACCATAACGTCGTGGTAAGCTTCTCTTTCCTATGTGCGGGTTATTTGTGTGTTGTTCCAGTCACGGTATTGTGCCTTTTTTTTATTCTCTATTGTAACCCTCCTCCTCGCGTTTTTAACCGAGTCCTCGCGTTTTTTAACCGAGTCGTCCTCGCGTTTTTAACTGAGTCGTCCTCGCGTTTTTAACAGAGTCCTACTCACATTATTATACTCAAGCTCACATTTCACTATTTTAACGTAACTCACGATTTTTCTTAATTGGAGCTCCTTTGATGATTATCCTGGGGTTGTCTCTGATAACCTCTACAGGAAAGTAACATAGGAAGTTACTGCCCTAGAACGCCTCTTGGCGTTCACTCTGCCCGAATATATTTTTGCCTCAAGTAATTAGTCAAGGAAACTGCTCTGTTGTATCTTTTTGCGCATTTCTGTGCTTTTCTTACGCTTTTAATAATAATAGAAATAATAACAGTAATAATAATATAAATAGAAATAATAATAATAATAATAATAATAATAATAATAATAATAATAATGATACTCTTGCTTTGTAAGTGTTTCATAAGGGCAATCGTGAATATTTTCTTCTGTTTGTTATAGTTCTCTCTGCATGTCTCTTTTATTTTTCCCTCTTTCTCTACGTCCATGGTATTTTGCTCTTCCTTTCACCTTGTCTTCTTGGTATTCTTTCGCGACATTATCTTCTTTGACATGATGGGCGACAAGCACAATATTTCTTCATTTGTGATCATTGCTGTCCACTGTTGCTCTCTGCTGCTTGAGTCAGGTGACCTTGGCCTGTTGTATGAGCCAGGTGACCTGTTGTGTGGGCCAGGTGGCCTGTTGTGTGGGCCAGGTGACCTGTTGTGTGGTCCAGGTGACCTGTGGTGTAGTCCAGGTGATCTGTGGTGTGGTCCAGGTGACCTGTTGTGTGGTCCAGGTGACCTGTTGTGTGGGCCACGTGACCTATGGGTCATATGATGTGTCAACAATGCAATGACATTAACATCTTCCTCATTTTGTATAAGCCACTCAAACACACCTTCATAGTTCTCTCCTACATTTATCCAATACTGCTGATATCTTCCACATTTTACCTTCTTCGTCTTCATCTTTCTCTTGAAATCCATTCGAGACTCAGTCCCTTTACCCTACGACTTCCATGCATGATTTCCCGTTCCCTTACCTTCTTGTAGTGATTCTCTATCTCATACTTTACCCTCCTTGCAACCTTCCCTCGTGCTCACCTCCTTCTGTGCAGGTCTGGTGACTCCTCTCACCGTCCAGGAGAGCGCTGCCGAGGGCCTAGAACCAGTTGAGGAACACACGAGACGAACCTCTTGTCCCTCTCTCACCGGTCCTGGATTACTGATTACCACGCTAGTGGGCAGCACTGACCAGTCAGGGAGAGAGAGGTAGGCCTGTTAGTAACTCAGCTAGTGAAATTAGCTAGTGGGGAAAGACGACTAATTAGAGGAAAAGACTGTTGGTTAATTGGGAAGATTGTTGGTTTACTGTGAAGATTGTTGGTTAATTGGAAAGATGATTTGTTTGCGAGTTATAAAGCTGTTGATTATTTATTTCCGTGTATTGCTATTAAATTAATAAACGAGATAGTGCAGTAAGTAGTTATTTGATTAGCTGAGTTGCTATTGTTATCTAGTGATGATTTTGTTAGTTGTGATGGGAATTTATTTTTCTTGTTTGTTATTTGAGATTGAGTGGTAATTTGTAATGATCGTCTAGTGGACTATTACTTATTATTTGATGATTTGCTAAGTGAGGTAGTGGCCATTCAACAAACTGGTTAGTGTGATAATAGTTGGCGATGGATGGGATAGTAAATGAGTTAGTGAGTAGCAACGCTAGTTGGCTAGATTTTTAAAACTGTTTTCTCTCTAATGAACCGTTTTGTTGATTTTGATGATTTTCTGTTTAATTAAAATGCGCTAGATGTTCTTAATGATTCATTGAACAATAATTAGTTAAAATTGCTTTCATAGGCCAAGTGGTGATAATTTAATTTCTAAAGGTAATTTGGTTAACAAATAATGATCGTATTGTTTTCAGTCAAGTTTATAGAAAAATTTTAATAACTGCAAGTGTGTGTGTGTGGTGTGTTTTTAGTGTGTGTGTGTGTGTGTGTGTGTGTGTTTTTTTTTATGTTTCCGGACATGTGTATGTGTGTGAATATGTATAGGGTGTATGTTTGTATATTTTGTGAATGTGCTACTTGCATATATGAATTTTGTGTCCATATCTGTATGTGTTTTATGTACGTATGCATTTGTGTGCGTGTTTGTGTCGTGCAAAGTTTACACGTGTGTATGACCCACCATAATGCACTGTGGTCATAAAATTAAAACACTTTAAGAACAACGTTTTACTCAAACCACAATGTATCAATGTAACCAAACACACACATTATTATTATTATTATTATTATTATTATTATTATTATTATTATTATTATTATATTATTATTATTGTTATTAAGTTACACTTTACATATCGCTGGGCTGAATTAACGTGTCACCAGTATTTTCTAAATCCATTAACTCGTTTTCCTAGTGTCAGTATTGTTAGAAATAATTTTTTCAATATAATCACGTGATCCACACATACTGTTCCAATTATACACTTGCTATATCATCCCAAATTCTGATAGACTCAGTACCTATTATAAGCATGAGTTAGTTCACAATAAAACTGATTCACTCTCGTATGCCGTCTTTTTTCAGTGAAGAGGCGCGCCATACTAAGGTATCTTCTATTCTGTCATGCATGTGTTATGGTAACACACCAATCCTTCCAATTTTTTGTTCTCGTAGACTTTCAGCATTTTTAATTTCACCCGAGGTGTCAAAGTGGGCGCCTGTGACGAGTGGGATTCCACAGGGGTCAGTCCTAGGACCGGTGGTGTTTCGGGGATATGTGAAAGACATGACGTAATCTTCAGCAAATCTAAGCCAACAGAATCTGAACTAGAGTTGCCTAATCTAAGGAAAGGTAACCTGATCTAACCTTTTCATTTATGCTAAGTTAATGTAAACAGTTGTGCGCACACACACAGATACAGATACAGACACAGACACACGCACACTTACAGAACATGTGCACCACCAGGGTGACAGAGACGGGGCTGGCCAGGTGAGTGTTGGCAGCCAGGCAAGTGAGGGTCTGATTGTGCCAGTCACGGGTCAGTCTTTCCACTCTCAGGTCGTTGGTGACCTGTTCAGGTCCACTCTGGTGCCACGTGTCACTTAACTGCTCACTGCCTCTCCACCAGGTCACGTTGGGCGACGGAGAACCTGCAGGAGGAAGAGGAGGAATGGAGAAAGAAGAGAAAAGGTAAGAAGACGAAGAATAGGAGGAGCAGGGCGAGAAAAGGATAAGAATTCTTAATTAGAATACAAGAATAGACTGCAAAATTTAATATATTTCTTCGATAAGCGTTCAAAGTACAAGTCATTAAATGACTGGGTAATCGGATTTTAAGCTTTCGACTACATGGGAATCATTAAGGCTACAAATAGCCCCTTTCCCGCCAGTCAAGAATAGTTTAAACCATAAAACGTAATTCAGACTTTTAAAGTATACACACTGAGATATAAGCCTCTCGGTGTATACAAAGAGTGTTAAATTAGGAAGAGAATGTTGAAGAACGGATTTAAATACAAAATTCTTTGACCTGAGTTACTTTAAAATTAAAATCCATAATAGAGTATTTAAAATATTATCTGAGTAAGTCAAGATGGTTAAATATTTAAAAAAATATTTCATATGCCGTATTTTCCGGCATATAAGGCGCAGCTTTTTTCCCACAAAAAGTTTTGGAAAATCACCCTGCGTCTTATACGCTCAAGGCTAGGGTGAAGGGTAGGCTTTGGTTTACGGTTTTAATATGATTACTGATTTACGGTTATGATAATTCTGTCATGCGCCTTATATGCCGGAAAACACAGCAGTATAAAATAAATGACAAGGAATGATATTATTCTTAAAGGACAAAGGTTCGAAAAATGGATAATTTCACACAGACAGACAGACACACACAGCACACACACACACACCGCACCACACCAACACATACAGATACACACACACCCATATACAGGATTTCACACCTTCCTGTGAAGTGACCTCTAACCTTCCTTCCCCCCCCCGCCTCTCTCCCTCTCCTCTCCTCTCTCTTCCTCTCTCTCTCTCTCTCTCTCCTCTCTCTCTCTCTCTCTCTCTCTCTTTCTCTCTCCTTCCTCCCCTTTTCTCATCCTTCTTCCTTCCCTCTTCCTCTTCTCTCTCTCTTCCTCTCACTTCTTTCTTCCTCTTCTTCTCTCTCTCCCTCTCCCTCCCTCTCCCTCTCTCTCTCTCTCCCCCTCTCTCTCTTCCTCTCTCTCTTCCTCTTCTCTCTCTCTCCCTCTCTTCCCTTGTCACTCCCCCCTCTCTCTTACCTTTTCCCTCTCTCTCACTCATTTTCTCCCCCTTTTCCCCTCCTTCTACCCTCCCCTTCTCTCTCTTTCTCCTCTCTCTCTCACTCTCTCCCCTTTTTCTTTTTCACTTTCTCTTTTACTAAAAAAAAAAAAAAAAAAAAAAAAAAAAAAAAAAAAAAAAAAAATGTTTGGGGACCTCAGGGATCAGATGACAATGGTACTGGTAGGGAGGAATGGATGGAGGAGCAGTGGAAAAGGATAGAGCAAGAATGGGAGAGAAAATTAGGAGAGCTTTCTGAAAAAAATGGAGAAAGAGCTCTCTGTGAAATGGGAAAAGAGGTTGGAGAAGGAGACGAAGAATTGGGAGGCACAAGTCGAAACTGCAGTAGCCAGGTTAAAGGTCCTAGAATTTGAGGTAAACAGGCTGAAGCAAGTCTCAGGGGTAGTGACCAGAGAAGACACACCATACGAAGCTGAGAGGCTGAACAGGAAGGAAGGAGATATGAAATATGCTAAGGTCCTATCAGCCTGCAAAGAAGGGCCAGGGAGTGGAAGGCAAGAGCAGATGGGTGCAGATGGAGAGGGAGATAGGTCGAATGCTGAGGCACAACCATGCTACCAAGAGCCACTGGAAAAATCAAGGGAGAAAATGACCACATACAGACAGGAACCAGAGTCACAGAGGGAGAGGCAATGGGAGGAGGAAAGGGCAAAATCAGTGTTTATCCATGGGCTTCGGGGAGAGAGAGGAAAGGACACACACTGAAAGACGGGCAGGAAGAAAGAAAGGAGATTGAGAAAATCATCACGGAAATAGGGGGAGAAGACATGGACGAGATTGTAAATTTTCAGAGAATAGGGGGGTACTTGAAGGGGGAGAAACCGACCGATCAAGCTGATTCTCAGGACAGAAACAGTGCGGAACAGGATCCTCCAAGAAAAACCACGTTTGAGAAGCTCGGAAGAGTACAAGAAGGTGTTCCTAGACAGAGACAGAACACAAAAAGAGAGACAGCAGCTGAGGGAGAGGACAAAAAAGCGAAAGGAGCTAGGAAAGGAGACAAGGATGGAACCAGCAGAGGTCAGTCAGAGCAGAACAGAGCAGCAAGAGCAAGCACACACACAACTATCCTCAGAACCCCACAAACCTATCACACCATCCCAACACACAATACAATCCATACCCACAGCTTCCACCCAACCCCCAACCATAGAATCCCACAGTATGCTACCAGGTCTCCCACCCCACAGGCCCCCCAAACCACAGTGTTGGAAAGGAAACTGAAGGTATGGTACACAAACGCTGATGGAATAACAAACAAGTGGGAGGAGTGGCACGAAAGAGTCAAAGAGGCATCACCAGACATCATAGCAATCACAGAAACCAAGCTTACAGGTATGATAACAGATGCCATCTTCCCTACGGGATACCAGATCCTGAGGAAGACAGAAGGAACAGGGAGGGGGGAGGAGTGGCATTGCTGATCAAACACAGATGGAATTTTGATGAGCTGGAGAGAGGAGACAGCGGAGAAGAAAGTGATTGCATAGCGGGAACGCTTCACTCTGGAGGTCCCAAGGTGATAATTGCAGTGATGTATAACCCACCACAGAAACAGCAGGAGGCCAAGGCAAGAGTATGACGAGAGCAATAGAGCGATGGTTGACACACTGGCTGCAGTGGCCAGAAGAGCTCATACATGCAGGGCAAAGCTCCTGATCATGGGCGACTTTAACCACAAGGAGATCGAATGGGAGAACTTGGAGCCACATGGGGGCCAAGAGCTGGAGAGAGGAGACAGCGGAGAAGAAAGTGATTGCATACGGGAAACGCTTCACTCTGGAGAGTCCAAGGATGAAATTGCAGTGATTATAACCCCACAGAACAGCAGGAGGCCAAGGCAAGAGTATGACGAGAGCAATAGAGCGATGGTTGACACACTGGCTGCAGTGGCCAGAAGAGCTCATACATGCAGGCAAAGCTCCTGATCATGGGCGACTTTAACCACAAGAGTTCGAATGGGAGAGAACTTGAGCCACATGGGGGCCAGATACATGAGGGCTAAGAGATGGAAGGGGTACTGAGGAAACTTCATGTACACACGAAGGGACACTACAAGGTAGAGAAGCCAGGATGAACCAGCAAGACTCTGACTTAGTATGCAAAACCTAAGTAGTGCAGAATTGAGGACATCAATATGAAAGACCCATTGGGCCAGACGATCATGTGGTTTTTGAGCTTCGAATACACAGTAAGCTAATGAGGGGAGGGAAAGCAGGGAAGGCCAGACGAATGAAACCAAACTACGGAAAGGGACTACATCAGGAATGAAGGAAACTTCCTGAATGAGGTTCAGTGGACAGAGAACTGGCAGGGAAGCCAGTTAATGAATGAGTGGATATGTAGCAACAAAATGCAAGGAGGTGAGGAGAGGTTTTACCAGAGGTAACAGGAATAATGAAAAGCCAGGAGAGCCCATGGTTCACCCAAAGATGCATGGAAAGTCAAACAACCAAGTGTAGCAAGGAAGAGGTGAGTAAATATAGAAGGCAATAGGACCCAGGAGAATAAGGAGAGAGTCGTAGAGCCCGAAACGCAATATCTACAGATAAGAAGGGGAGCCCAAACGTTCAATTTGAAAACGACATAGCATGAGAGCCAAATCTGACCCGAAGTGTTATAGCAGCCACATCAGGAAGAAAACAATCGTCAGAGACCAGGTAATCAGGCTAAGGAAGGAAGGAGGAGAGACACCAAGAAATGACAGTTAAGTAGGAGGAACTCAACAAGAGATTCAAAGAAGTGTTCACAGAGGAGACAGAAGGGGCTCCAGAAAGACGGAGGGGTGGGGTACACCACCATGTGCTGGACAAGTATCACACAACCGAGAGATTAAGAGGCTATCTGAGTAAAGCTAGATACCTCAAAGGCAATGGGGCCAGATAACATTCTCCATGGGCCCTGAGTAAGATAGGGAGTCAGAGGCGTATGTGTACCCTAACACAATATTCAATAATCTATCTGAAACAGGGATATTGCTGAGGCATGGAAGACAGCAAATGTGGTACCAACTTTTAAAAAAGGAGATAGACAGAGCATTAAACTACAAGACCAGTGGTCACTGACATGTATAGCATGCAAAATCATGGAAAAAGATGTAGGAAAACATGGTGGAACACTAGAAAGGAGATGATCTCATCACAGCAACAACATGGTTTCAGAGACGGAAATTGTGACACAAACCTAGGCTAGTTCTATGACACGTGACTAAGCAGTAAGACAAGAGATAGAGGGTGGGTGGATTGCATTTTCTAGACTTGCAGAAGGCGTTTGATACAGTACCCACAAGGATAGTGCAAAATGGAGACCAAGCTAGGAATACAGGAAGGCACTGCAATGATCAGGGAAACTTGTCAGGAAGACAGCGAGCGAGTAGTGGTACTGAGGCGAGGTAGTCAAGTGGGCACCTGTGACCAGGGGATCCCACAGGGGTCAGTCCTAAGGACCAGTGCTTGTTTCTGGTATTGTGAACGTACATGACGGAAGGAATAAACTCCGAGGTGTCACTGTTTGCAGATGACGAAGTTGATGAGAAGAGTTCATTCGATCGATGACATGCAGGCAGAATACAAAAGGGTTTGGGACAGGCTGTCAGCGACCTGGTCAGCAATGGCTCCAGGAGTTCAATCCCACCAATGCAAAGTCCATGAGGATTGGGGAAGGGCAAAGAAGACACCAGATGAAAAGTACAGTCTAGGTCCGAGACTACAAACATCACTCAAGGAAAAGATTTTGGGGTGAAGTATCACACCAGGCACATCTCTGAAGCGCACATCAACCAAATACTGCTGCAGCATATGTGGCGCTGGCAAACACTCAAAAAGCATTCGACATCTTAATAAGGAATCATTCCCCAGGACCCGTTTCACCGTGTACGTTAGGCCCCTTTTTGGAGTAATGCGGCACCAGTTTTTGGGAACCCACACCTAGCAGCATGTAAAGAAATAGAGAAAGTTTCAATGGTTTGCAACAAGATAGTCCGGGGTAGAGGTATGTTTCTTGGGAGAGGTTAAGGGAAATCAACCTGACGACAGGAGGACAGGAGAATAGGGAGGGAAAGAAAAACGACTTACAAAATACTGAGAGGAATTGACAAGGTGGACAAAGCAGGTGTTCAGGACTGGACACAGTAACAAAGGGGGGGCACCCGTTGGAAGTTGAAGACACAGATGAATCAAAGGATTTAGGAAGTATTTTTCAGCCACAGAGGTAGTCAGGAATGGAATAGTTTGGGAAGCGATGTAGTGGAGGTCAGGATCCCTACATAGCTTTAAACGAGGTACGATAAAGCTCATGGTTCAGGAGAGTGCCTAGTAGCGACCAGTGAAGAGGCGGGCCGGACTTGGACTCGACCCCTGCAACCTCAACTAGGGGAGTACCAATTAAAAATGAAAAGGCACATGCTCTCTCTCTCTCTCTCTCGTGGACTGGCACTAAGGATCACGTGTAGGAAATGAAGACGAGTAAAGGGAAAACGATAAGCCAGCGGGGGAAGCCGTGAATGAAAATATTTAAAGCCACCGTAAATGAATGGGTGAAAGCCACGATGAAGGAAGGGGGTGAAAGTCACAGTGAAATAAGGGATGAAAGCACAGTGAAAGAAGGGATAGACCACGTGAATAAGCTATGATAAAAAAAGGGAAAAGGGCCCAAAAAAGAGATAAGTGAGAAAAAAATTTTTGATCGAAAAAAGATTACTTCGGTCAAGTTGGGGGCGCCTCTGGAGGGAAGCTGCAAAACCTGAGGGGAGGGGGGGGGGGAGAAGAGAGAGGGAGGAGAGAGAGGAGAGAGAGAGGGGAGGAGGAGAGAGAGAGAGAGAGGAGAGGAGAGAGAGGAGGGTATCCCTTTAGGATAGTGGAGGTGTATCCATTAAAGACGGTGCCAGAGAGGTATCCCTTGAGAATAGTGCTGGAGAGGAATCCCTTGAGAATAGTGCCACAGAGGTATCCTTGATAATAGTGGTTGAAGTATTTATTAAAGACAGAACAGTGCCAGAGAGGTATCCCTTGAAGATAATGCAGAATATTATTTGTATAACTGACATTGCAACATTCACGTTGAAGTGCTGCATCCGTAGGGGTCATGTAACTAACGGAGATTGGGTTCGATCCGAGGAAGGGCTGGGAAGCTCCAGTTTGCAGCATCAAGATCGGGGAATCAAGGTATCCCCCTCCCATCCTGCTCACCTGAAGAGTTGGCAAGGAAGACTAAGGCAATGTAAACAAGAGTCAGGGAGGAAAAGTACTGCAACAAGAAGCATGGTAGATGAAAGAGTAGGTGAGGGGTATCTACTTTCAACTCACACCGTGCAGGTGAGGGGAGGGGGGGACCTACCTTCCATCCATCCATCCCCGCATAGGTGAGGGAAATACCTACTTCCTTTGCCAATCAGGTGAGGGGAGACAGGGGGGTGAGGGGGACCTACCTCCTCTCGCAGTGCAGGTGAAGGTGATAGAAACACCTTCTCTGTAAGGACCAAGAACACCGTCCCTGGCAGTCCCACCATCACTATCCACCACCTCCAGGTTGCTGGCCGGCTCTGTCAAAACAACAGTAAGAAGTGTTAAGCCATGCTCTCCACCGCACTCTTCCCCACCTTCTAAACTCATGAATATTACCAGTGTTTCGTCGGTCAATATTATCAGGCGTTATACTGGGCAACAATACCAGGTACTTCATTATTCTTAAACATCCTCTTGGGTCAATGTTGCTGTCTTTCATTAGGTAGTATTACCTGTGTTCCACTGGTCAGTATTACGATTATTTTACTGATAAGTATTACCTCTGTTTTATTGATAGATGTGTTATAAGGGTCAGTGATAAATTAGACACATGTGCAACTCTTGGGTACCTTTATTGAGGAAACGTTTCGCCACACAGAGGCTTCAACAGTCCATACAAAGGAGAATAGTGAAGAGCAGGAGGAGAATAAGGTAATCAGTCCCTCAACCTTGGTCGTTTTGGTCGTCCATCAATCTGAATGAATACAGATTGAGCGAGAAGTGGCTTATATACCGTAGGCAGAGAGGGCAGCAGTGTAGGTGGTGTTACATTTGTTCAATTGGAAGTAGGTCGTGCCAAGGGTTAGGCAAGCGAAGAATTCCAATTAATCCCCAAAAGATCAACATTGTAAGAAGGTTCGAGCCATGTTTAAAAAAACCCCATTGGTTGGGTTTTATTGGAAAAGTTTGAAAAAGTGTTATTTTCCTACAAAAGTTGAATTCCGAGAATGAACTTCGGGGTTTTTTATTAATTTTCGCGTATGGGAAAAAAATATTAATTAAAAAATGTAAAAAATAAGCGACCCGTCCCTTTAAACCATTTGTC